GTGCGTTCGTCGATTCAGCGGCGCGTCGTCGCTTTCCAGGTTTGGCTGTTTTGGGGCCATGCCCAGATGCAGAAGGTGCTGGTTGGGAAGATTCCGCTGGTTTGTGCATGCAAGTTGAGAGGTTGGCCCGTAACGGCGGGCCGGAGGGCTTACCCGATGCATCCGTGTCAGACGGGCCCAACGGCGGGACGGCGCTGGGCCTGGTCGGTGTCGATACTAACCGACGTTCGTTCTCAGACATGTCGAGCTGCAAAAAAAAAATAGATTTCCTTTGATGACACAATAAAGCAATCAAGACTGCATAACCAAGCAATGGTTACCAAGATTCCTCCAACCAAGGACTCGAGATTTGGAAGAAACCATCGCAAGACATCCAAGTCCTATAGCATGACAGTGTCAGAAGGTTCACGGAGAATATGTACGGAAGAAAGGGTGCAGAGGAAACCACGCTAGCACAGAACAGTTCTAACTTACAAGGTAATACAACGCGAGGGGAATATAATTCCCCGGGAGGGAATAATGGGATGGTTTCAGATGCTCCAGTGCGGGCACCACCCCGGGGGAAGAGGAGCTCTTATATAAGCGCCAAGCATCAACCATTTACCCAATGTAATTTCCAACCTCCGAAGGTGACCCATACCTACATATGTACATACATAAGCACATATACATATATATATATATCAGAAAAACAAGCATGAACTGCTTATTGACCTGTTCGCTGTCCTACTTGGGACTTGAAAATGATCTCGGATTTACATTTGGAGTACGGAGTATATTGTATTCCATTTCAAATATATATATTACGGAGTACGCCGAACTATAAAGTAGTACTCGGGATTTGGGATATGTCATTTAAAGTGGGCTTCTGGCGGAGGGGACTCACGGTCCTATCTCCTTATTTGTCACTTGTTGAATGAAAAGGGGTGTTGATTTGCAACTCTTATTTATTAGGATTGACAAATAATTCCGGTCATAGCTGTAGTTTCCAAGTCTGTACTGTCCTATTCCCCTTTAATTTCATACGTAAATGTAAGATAGATATGTTTCAGGATTTGAAGACCAGAAGTTAGGCTATAACTTCGGAAACATCGGGAGCTAGCATTTGTGCGCCTTATGAGAACGATAGTGGGGGCACTAAGCGGAAGACTCAATGTTATTTGCAGTGAAGATGAGGAGGACCTACTTCCTATATGGGTTAGCGTATATGCTTACATACGGAAACCACTTAACGCGTCGGTGTGGGATCAACTATTCTTCCGAACACGCGTTCGCGTCGCGCTTTAGTTGCCCAAGGAGACCCGCGAAGGAGACCCACGAAAAACTAAGATAGCAAACTGAGTCGACGATATCACCTCTCCACATTTCTTTTTCCCCCTTCAAGACGTGGGAGCTTAATACCCTTTTTTTACATTGGCCATTTTTAGCCGATTAGCTCTCTGCCATGTCTTCCCTTTTCGACGCCGTGATCCAGTCCGAGCTGGGCTCTGCGCCTTCTCGTCTCCGATCCGACAATCTGCCCAGCTCCCGACGCTCAGAGAGCAATGGCCCTATGAGTGATATGAATGCCTTCCCAGATGACCAAGTTGTCGGAGCGGGAAGCTCGGCAGTCAGCCGTATGCGAAACCCATATGCCCCTGGCCCCCCGCCGGTGGTCGATGAGGCGGCAGAGAAAGTCCAGCAGGCATTTGAAGAGCTGCTCGAGTCATACATCGATGAACCCTCATCTTCTGCGCCACCCTCATCAGGGGAGTTTCTTAGTGACAAGTATTATATTGCCCAGATCAAGGGGATGAAAAAATTCGAGCTGTCGACTCTCTACGTTGATTTCACACACATCCTTAATCCTGTCTTGGCAGATGCCATTGCCGGCCAATACTATCGATTCCAACCCTTCCTCACCAAAGGACTTCACAATCTCATCGCCAAATACGAACCTGAATACTTCGTCTCCCACCGAATGACTGCCAGCGCCTCTTCGCGAGCCAGTACCTCAGTTGCCTCAGCATATGCGGGCGTTTCAGATAACCCCGACCTTGAGCGTCAGATCCGCGAGAAGACTCGCCACCAACAAACTGACAAATTGTTTGCCCTTGCATTTTACAACCTGCCTCTGGTTTCCAGACTGCGACAACTTCGGACGAATCAGATCGGGAAATTGCTGTCCGTCTCTGGAACTGTTACAAGAACTTCGGAAGTTAGACCAGAATTGTCGCTGGGAACTTTTATCTGTGAAGGTTGCAAGACTGTCGTCCCGAATGTTGAACAAACTTTCAAATATACTGAGCCAACGGAGTGCCCCAACAACACCTGCGGTAACCGCGTGGGATGGCGCCTGGATATCGGAAAGAGTACATTTGTCGATTGGCAAAAAGTCAAGCTCCAGGAATCATCGCACGAAATTCCAACTGGTAGCATGCCTCGCACAATGGATGTCATCTTGCGTGGTGAGATGGTTGATCGCGCCAAGGCCGGTGAACGCTGCGTCTTTACAGGTACCTTGATTGTCGTTCCTGATGTCAGTCAATTGGGTCTTCCCGGTGTGCGTCCTGAGGCCGTCCGCGATGACAATTCCTTCCGAGGTAACGAGGTCGGTGGTAGCGGAGTTTCTGGATTGAAGTCTCTGGGCGTGCGCGATCTGACTTACCGGTTGGCCTTCCTATCCTGCATGGTTACCCCAGACACAACCACTCCTGGCCAGAAGCCAGAGCAGCAGCTGAGTGGCCAGTCAAATAACATCCTGGCCTCCTTGAACCAGAACCAGGAGGCTGATATCGGGGATGAGTCAGCCCAAGAAGCTTTCTTGCAAAGTCTTACTCCGGCCGAAGTCCAGGATCTTAAGCGACTGGTGCACTCCGAATATATTTACGCCCGACTTGTGGACTCGATTGCCCCCATGATCTGGGGTCATCGTCAAATCAAAAAGGGTCTACTTTTGCAGTTGATCGGTGGTGTTGGCAAGTCGACATCAATTGAGAGCCTGAAACTTCGTGGTGATATCAACATCTGTATTGTTGGCGATCCATCGACCAGTAAGAGTCAGTTCTTGAAGTAAGTTTTGTCATCTCCTCACATATAGCACTTGGTTACTGACATGGCTCCTTAGATACGTCTGCTCATTGCACCCTCGTGCAGTATACACCAGTGGTAAAGCCTCATCGGCAGCTGGTTTGACAGCTTCAGTGGTGAAGGATCCCGAGACAGGCGAGTTCACCATTGAAGCCGGTGCCCTGATGCTTGCGGTAAGTTCTAAATGTGGCTGCGATTAAGTTTGCGTTCAACGCTAACATTTTCCTTGTAGAACGGTGGTGGTATTTGTGCCATTGACGAGTTCGATAAAATGGATATCGCCGATCAGGTCGCTATTCACGAAGCCATGGAACAGCAGACAATCTCCATTGCTAAGGCTGGTATCCATACTACTCTGAATGCCCGTGCATCCATCCTCGCTGCTGCTAACCCCGTTAATGGTCGCTACGACCCAAAACAAACTCTTCGGAACAACTTGAACTTCAGCGCTCCCATTATGAGTCGTTTCGATGTGTTCTTTGTTATCCGTGATGATCCAAAGGAGTCCGTTGACCGCAGCTTAGCCGAGCACATTGTCAACGTGCACATGAACCGTGATGAGGCTGTTGAGCCCGAACTGAGCACAGAACAACTGCAGCGCTACATCCGCTTCGCCCGCACATTCCGCCCCGTCTTCACTGACGAGGCGAAGACACTGTTGGTCGAGAAATACAAGGAGCTGCGCTCCAATGATGCCCAGGGAGGTGTGGGCCGCTCTTCATACCGTATCACCGTTCGTCAGCTCGAGTCTTTGATCCGTTTGTCCGAGGCTGTCGCCAAGGCCAACTGTGTCGAAGAGATCACTCCCAAGTTCGTCATCGAGGCATACGATCTTCTCCGCCAGAGTATCGTGACTGTTGAGAAAGATGATGTTGAGATTGAAGATGATGTCCCTACTCACGCCAACGGCGCCGATGAAGACCAGGAGATGGCCGATGGCGACAATGAGGGTGATAGCCCCATGCGTGATATCGCAGAACCTGCCCCAGCCCCTGCCCAGCCGGAACGCCAGAAGACCAAGATCACTTACGACAAGTACGCCAAGATCCTGAACCTGGTCGTCCGGCGTGTACACGAGGACGAAGTGAACTCGGGTGAAGGTGTCGAGCAAGAAGATCTTCTACTCTGGTACCTGGAGCAAATTGAGGGTGAACTCAACACCGAAGATGATTACGAGCGTGAGCGCGAGTTGGCAGGCAAGGTCTTGAAACGCATGGTCAAGGTTAGTCGACCTTCCTTTGCTACGGCAATATCTGCAAATTCCCATCAAGTACATGTGACTAACAAAATTATTCTATAGGACAAACTCCTGCTGCGTATCTCCGGGTCTGGTCTCACAGATGGAACTGGCGATGACGCCCAGCAAAATGACGGGAAGGTTCTTTTCGTCATGCATCCGGATTGTGCCTACGAGGAGATGTGAGATGGGATTGTGCTTTCTGTCTCTTGAATATGTTGCTTTTTCTTTATTTCGTACTGTCTATCTTTCAGGGCCGGGCTATGTTGGGCATTTTCAATGGGTTAAATAGAAGGAGCAGGGGGTTATGAGTGATGATATCCGTTTAGTTGCGTCTTATATTCAATAGGACATGAATGATACTGAATTCAAATCAATCCAAATTTCACAACGCTAATTGAATCCTGACACCCTCGACCTTGGCGATAGAGCCTCCCGATCTTCCCCGAGAATAGGGCAGATGTGTGTTTCGAATCCCAGCACGATGAATCGGTTCGCTGCGGCTTTCCAGCCCAATCGTGGCTATTCGCCTCCATATATGGAGCAAAGAAGATAGAGCGCGGCGTTCCTCATCATAAAATGATAGGACCAAGATGTCCTGTGGAGCACAGCCCGCTACAACCAGTTTCTCTACTAGAGTAGTGATGAAGTTCACATATTCTGGATTTAGAAGGGATGTTCCCTGCTTGCGGCGTCAAACTGACGATTTCGCCACCGAGACAAAGAATGATGTTCCAGGAGCACAGGTGAAGAGGTTCACCATTTCCTCGAAAAACCTGATTGAGTGTGGTCTTCCTTTACACGATGGGTGAGTTCTGAGTCGACCACCACAGAACTGCTCGCTCACATGCTTGCAAATATCACCCGTCATTCTATACTGCACATTTAATTCCGTGTAGGGGTGTCCAGTCTTGATCATTCTCAATTTAAGAACGTCAGAGGCTCGCAAAAGGTTGAATTCGTAGAAACGATTAAAGTGTGCGATGTAGGTCTCTTTTTGGGCCTCCGCTTCTCGAAGCAAGCCAATCATCCGAATAGCCTCGTATTTCCTCTCGTTAAGAAACACAGTGAATGGGTTTGGGGTGTGGGTGAGTATCTCATACGGATCGGCGTACCCATATTCGGACATGCTCGGCCATCCAGACTTTATTGGAAGGCCCAAAAGGCCAAACTCCGGTGTCATTGGAGATCCGTATATTTTTATCTTCCGGGCTTGCTGCTCCCTCAATGCGGGGACTGGGAGTTCTAGCAACACTGCTTCATTTTGCAAATAATGAATCCCAGTCCAATCCAATACCTTGCGCTTCGCAGCACCAAGTCCCTCACGCGTAAGAAACTTCATCTCGCTCATTTCATCCAGAATAAGGTCGTGGTTTCCCGCGATTCAAGGGTGCTATGGGCTATTAAGTCGCCCGCGTGGATTAGGATGTCTCCGGGTGGCAGAGAAGGGGTTGCATTGTGCGTATCTGAAATGCACATTATGCTAATTGGAGGGTGATTCGAGTTATTTTGAAGAGGAATTATCAAATAACAATAAATAGCATCACTATGTTAGAACCCGGATTAACATAGAGTAGTGTGGAAGGTGGGCGAATTCAAATCCCACACCTTTATAAGTGAAAAAATGATTCAGATTTTAGGAAGTCACAATACGTTACAAGGCATCCAAAACCAATAAGAAGCTTTGGTAGTTCAGTGGTAGAATACTACTCTTCCATATCATTTCATCCGAAGTGGTTGATAAGTAGTGGCCGGGGTTCGATTCCCCGTCAATGCAATATCTTTTATCTTTTTGGTCCACATATGTTCATGTTTCGAATTATGAAGTGATTAATTACTTTTTTTTTTGGTTATTAGACAATAGATATTGCACGGTTGTTCTAAAATAACTACAATTGCAAGGTACAATCCCAATCAATGACATCCATGGATGGATATCGAATCTCGGGAAGTCAATAACTCTTATAACCATGGTCGGCCAGTAACTCAATATTATATATATATATATATATATATATATTCAATATTTTACTCCGTATACCGCACATGACTTCTCGAGTATTGCAAAATGAGTGATTTAGTCATTGGATTGAGAAATACCAGTCAATCAGTAACCTGGCTCTCTATTACTGAGATATCTTCGATTTATTCTGCCATAGAATACAGTGTAGGTATCCCAACTGCAGATAGAATCGATGATATCTCGTACTTTACAATAGTACCTGTGAACATGTGACACGTAGGTACTTTTGTCAAGACTAAGGTGATTGACTTCGTACTCGTATTTAATCCACTCAAATCACCCCCATTCCCCTGCAAGTAAGCTTCTTTCGAGTGCCCCAGGTGGATTTTACCTTTTGACAATCAAATACCCGCATAAAGTTTATGCGGTGTATCATCACACCACGTACGGAGTAGTATACCTACAAGCGAGATTTGATTCTGCCGCAATTTAGATATCACATTCAGAAGTACCAATATCTCCCCTGAAAGAATTGAAATAACAGAAACTAGCAGAGTCTTCCCTGCTAGCAAGCTAGTAGAATCCTGTGACCCTCTTGCCAAGGAGGGAAGGAGGTTACTATAGCCTATGCACCGTGTTCACATCCTTGTTGTAAATTCAGCACTAACAGAGAAAGGGCCACTGCCGTCAAGCGTCATGGAGGGGGCCTGGTTGTTATTCGGGATTAACTGCGGTAGGATACCGTGGTGGCTTGCTTGGCTTGCTATGTCCTTTGACACCTGTCAATTCTGGCTAGTGGGAGTGGGGTCGATAATATCAATTTAAAATACAAATTTTGGGTTGTAATTTATGCTTGTTTTTGTTGATGTCTGACATGTAGACTGTAAATGCATCATTGAATCTCTTATTAAGGGGTAGGACACATTTCTGCATGTACAGACATGAAGCACTGTTGAACCATCAAAAAAACAATTCGTTAATGTAGAACGACTCAAAAATTTCTCCCCCGTCTTACATCGTACTTTCATCCCGTAAACAAAAAAAAAAAAAAAAACAACAACTGGAATAATGATCCGCGCTACCTAAAAGGGGAAGGTAAAGTTGACAGCGAATTGATCGGCATAGAGACGGGCGGGGGTTCGGTATACAATACATATTAAATTACTATACTTATACTGTATTAATATTAATATTAAGAGTGTCAACTTCGAGGCTAAGCATCTTCCTTAATATATTCCATGTTTTTATTAGATTGAAATAAGATCTTCCAATTTAGAGCCTGTGCTCAAGGTGAGACGATTATCAAGGGGACATTAGAGATAGCGATTCTCTCGGAAGAACGAGAAAGAAGGAATATAATACTAATACGGATAGACTGTATTCAAGATGGTTCAGTTACGTACTTCGTATATTCGAGAAGCAAGATCCCTGCACTTGCATGCTGCCCGGTGGGAGCCACCATATATATTATTATATACATTATCATTATGTTAGCTGCCACATCTATCGACCGAAAGAAAATGTGTCTAGACCATGCATAGTAATATCATGTCCACGCACACACCCGAAGCTAAACCAGAGGCGTTTTTTTTTTAGCACATAGTACAACTGTACTCTATACTCCGTAGTTATGGAGAGTATGTATGTCTCAGCTGAATTTTCTCCCAAGGCATAGCGAAAGATGTGTACAAAGTACTTCTTCGCACGTAGAAAAACAAGGCTTTTCTCTAGTAAGCACAAGTAGGCACCCTTAATGGGTCGCATGATGTACATTGTACCTCGTACTCCACAGCAGTGTGTGCCATGCATGCATACGTACAAATCCTTTGAAGATGTACTTTGAACCTGAAACAAATTAAGGAAATTGCCGCCCTAGCCCTCGTGGTTGTCGTGGGGAACTAGGAAGATGATCTGAGCGACAATACACACGAGTGATACTCTATGATCTGTTATGGAGTATACAGCATATAGTTGTACAAAGAACTGAAGTTTACCCCTAGTTAAGGCCCCCCCCACTTGTGTCTTCAAGCTACTATGTTACCAGACTGTTTACTTAACTAGGAAGGTTGGGTATCACTGGCTCCTGGACCCCACAACGGAGCCTGGCGACCTTGCTTGGCGAATCACTCAAAAGACATGCATGCCGTTGTCTTCCCGTACCGAGACAGGGGACGGCAACGGTTATGCATTAGGATATTGCCGAGCTGAATCCAGGATTATTACAGGGAAGACAAGGATAATGACAAGGATCCAAATTCATTTGTACATTTTCACATTATTGGCGGAACTTGACTCAAATCCGTTGGAATGTTGGGGCCACCACGCCATCAACGTACGGTGTAGTACTCCGTACAATTCTTTATCGTATGTTGTAGACCTTATATGTATGGAAACTTGGTAATAAAGCTGAAATATCCATGAAAAAAACACCTCAAATTCCTGCCATAAATATGTACTGAGAATGGATGCAAGGAACGCAGAGAGGCCCAGGAAACTCAATGGGCAAGGACAGAAGCAGAAACATAAATAACAATAAAAACGCCGATTCCAACGCCGTGCTCCCTTGGGAATGAGTCATGAGCTGATGCAAGAGACAGGCAGGAGATATGTACCCCCAAACAAGGACAAGATTGAAAAAATTGATCAAAGACAGTGAGAAAGAACAGTAAAACATGGATCGCAAATAAGGGAATGAATGGAGTAATTGGTATGCGCGCCCCAGTAACTACAAATCAGAACACAATCAAAGATGCAGAAAGGCAAAAAAAAAATGGAAGGCCAATCAAAGAGAAGGAGATGGTCTCAACAGATCAAAGGTATCAACTGGCTGTAAAGGTTTTGCTGGAAGGGTTTCAACACACGCTAAATCGCTAATATGAGGTCAAGTGTTGGCGTTGCTAGTGTTTACACTCGGATCCGGGTGGATCGGAATGCAGTGATGTCAATCGACTCAGCCGAAAGAGATGAGTTATCATCGACTTCAATGGGGCCTGTCGTGGCCATCGAGGGCTTGTTCGCAGCTATGGCAGCAACCATGGCGAGTCGGGCCGCGGATGGAGTAGGGGGCGGCTTGGGAGGTCCTTCTTCTGCGGTCCCGTCTTGTTGTTTTTGCTCGTGTTCTTCTTGTTGTTTCTTTTCTGCCATGATACGGTCGACCTCGTTGATAGCCGCCTCGAGTAGCATCTTGAATTTCTCCTCCACGCCATCCAATTCCGTGCCACAGTCGCCAGATCGGAGGACTTGGTAAGCTGCTGTCTCGCAAAGCGCATGAGCAAGTTCCAACTGCTTGTCTGCGAAGTCAAAAGGGGAGTCTTTCCGAAGTGCGCTGGTCCCAGAGATACCGACAACTCCAGATGTGGTCCGGGTGCTGCGAACACAAGAGAGTGACCCTGTCTGTCCCAATCCACTCGGCATATTCATCATGCCTTTGCTCAACAAGCCCGAGCGCAGTCCAGTGCGCGGCATCAATGACATCTGTCCTCGTCTGATGTTGTTCCTGGCCACCCCGATATCGCGTACAATTGTCTCGAGCGTCTGTTGTGTATGGCCATCATATTCAATGATGACATTGTGCCGTGTGCTTACCAACATGTTGTGTTCTTCATTGGACTCGACTGATGGGGCCTCATCTGTAGTGCGCTTGCGGCCTGAACGTTGGCCTTGCTCGGGCGCATCCTGTGGTGTCTCCAGGGCCAGAGGTTCTGGGCTGGGACCCTTTCTTTCTGCGATCGGAACGAGGTCATTGGTGTGGATGGAGCAAACAGAGCTGTTTTTGCGTCGGCGGGACTTGAAGGTTGCGTGGCGTCTGTACGCTTCGGAGTATTCATCATGTTTTTTGTGAGTGTGTGCTGCGAGCTCTGAAACGCGAGTGATCCATGCAGGAATGTTGTCTTTCATGTGGGTGAAGGCCCCTAGAGCATCCATTGATGCCATGGCCATAAGAAATTATTGAATCCCCCGGTGCCACCCTTTTCAGAGGCTCGAAATCAAAGAATGGGCGGTCAAAGTATTATAATCAGGTAGGTGTTTCTGTTGTTCGTTTCGTCGTAAATCGTGAGTTCGACCAGAATTCGTAAGGGTGGAGAGACAAAAAGGGGACGAAGAAAGCGAGAAGAGAAGCGATCAGTAACCCCTCAATGATATATGATCTGCAGTTCAAAGTGCAAGTAACGGTGAAGCAGAGAGGGGGAAAGATGAAGAGAATAAAAGAACCTTTGGGAGAGAAATCGAAGAGTATGGTATTGGTATTGTAAATACTTTGTTTAGTGGGTCATACCTTGGTACGGAGTACGGGGGTACCGTATATTAATAATATTAATATATATCTCCGTACACTACTCCGTACACTAACTTACCTGACGTATATTTGATAGGAATCCCGTGTACACCCTGCACATCTTAGGGCTAACTGCATCTACGACTCCTCGTCTTTCATTAATGATTGGACCGCTTGTACCATCATCACTCAAGCGGTGAGGTGGATTACTGCATGTGTCAGTGTCAGTTCATGCAGACTAAAGAGTAGTGTTGCCATAGGGAACTGAGTACCTAGGCATACGGAGTACTCCGTGCTCCATTAGTACTTTAGAGGAATTGAATATGGTCTTGGGCAAAAAAGTTGGTGATGATCATTATGAGAATGAGCCTGATCATCCAAACGCTGTACTCAAGCCACCCATTCTTCGGAAAGTTCAGTCTCCCAGCAACCGAAATACATGGGGATATTCCCGGAGACCTGGAGATTGTTGAAGTAGACCAGACAAAATAGAAACAAAAAGATAATTAAATTTGATGAGAACCCTGTACTCCGTACGGAGTACCTAGGTACTTTGTAGACATCAACCGGGTACCTTTCCTAAGATAGGTTTGACACGTAACGGTCGGGGACCAAAAACCGGGGACTCGGGGATCACGGGGAATACAAGTATTATGAAAGTCAAATACTCAAATACCGTCAATACCTTGGAACCATGGAAAAAAGCAAATGGAGCTGGGACACACTATTGGGGAGCCGGACGATCCCTCCCGCGGAAGAGCCGGGAGTGTCCCTGGTTGGAGGTCCGGGTCCCACTGTGTTTTGATACGCAACGGTGGTTGGCTGATCGGTGGAAATCGAGAGCTGGCCATTGGCATTCGCTAATGTACAGTCCTGGGAAATTCCCTGTATCCAAATGTCCATATCAGGTCCCCTCCAAACCACTTTGAAAATAATATGTATATTCTTTTTAACGCCTACGAAGTACATTGACTTTTCTAGATCTAGGCTTCACACGTGAAATACAAATAACTCGTTCAACATTGGGGTATGCTAGTATGGAATATACATGTCGAATCTACTACCACCTAGGTATAGGGGTTTATTTTTACAAGGGACGATTCGAGTTCGAAAATCAATGGATTAAGTAGGTGTCCAGGGGACACCAGAAACGTTTCTCGAAAACAAAACAAACAGATCCATGGGTGCCGACCAGGCTCACGTGGCTTCAAGCCACGTGAATTATCCTAACCTGGTCGCGTACCTAGGTACTTCCCATATCAGGGACCGAAGAATGTCCTCTCAGATCAAAACCACTCAAATCTCAACTGACCGCAAATATCCACCCCAAAGCATGAGGACCAAAGAAACTAGGACCGAGGCGTGGGAAGGGTGCGGTGATGTACGTTGAGAACGCTCAACGACCAGAGACGGCCCAGGTCTGAATCCAGCCATCGACAGTGTGCTGGATAGCCTGGGCGGCGGCGAGGGTCTCACGGTGGGCCTCATTCAAGGCCTGGGGAGCGGCGAGGCCATTGCGGTGAGCCTCGTTGAAGGCCTGCATGCTCCTCTCCAGTCTCTGGAGGTTGTCCTGAAGGGTACGCGCCCAGATGGCGTGGACGGACATGGTGGAGGAGGCATGGAGGTTATCGGGGGAGAGGTCACGGGGCCCGGTCTGAGACTCGGGGGCGGCGGTGGTGTTGGCGCGGCGAGTGCGCTTGGTGGGTTTCTTCACCACCGGCTTCTCCTCGGCCTCAGAGGGCAGGGAGGAAAGCTCGTCGCTGGAGTCCGCCGGAACGGGACTCATCTCCTATATCCATGCGTTAGCTGGGTGACAAAACCAAGTAGAAGCCAGAGGGTTGATGTTACGTACCTTGGCCTTGGCCTTAGCCTCGGCGGCCTTGCGGCGGCCTCTGGTGGCTACGCCGGGGGGAGCGACAGGGGCGGGAGTCGCCGCGGGAGTTGGGACGGGAGGAGGAGGAGGAGGACCGGAGGGGGGAAGACATGCTGGCTGTGACAGCTTCAGCCTCAGTGACCTTCACAGGTTGGTTACGGTGGATGCACCGCTTCTTCTTGGCCTTGCAGTCAGCACAGGCAGGGTTATTGTTGGGCATTTTGATGTTGGACACTCTTTGAATGTGCCGGTGGTAAGGGATGAGCTGGGATAATGCGGGTAAGAGAATGAGATTTGAGGGGACTCACTTTTACTAATGAGATTAGAGCAATTGAGAAGTGAAAGGCGTCGCGCGTGTGACGCGGATTAGTCGTTGTCTTAGTCGTTGTATTAGTCGTTGTGGTCGATTTGCGACAGCCCTGGAGGTTGGCAAGAGTGAGATTCCTTTAAAGCATGCGACAACCAGAAAGACAACAACCAGAAAGACAACCAGAAAACGACACGACCTCACACCAAGCAAACCACCCGTGGACGCAAATCAAGCAGATTTGATAATCACACCCACTCGACGCATCCTCCAACAAACACCTACGGAAACTACCAAGATATTGAATGGGGGTCTTTGTTCACAATATTCCATTAATGCGCATAGATACAGAGCCTTATAACTTGAGATGAAAACATCCAACGTAGATAGCCCAATTCATGCTTATTCTTTGGAATACAAGTGCACCTAAATGTATAGAAAATACAAGTTTTTGCAGTACTGGTAGAATCACGGCCACAATTCAACCTCATTCCACCGAGAACCATCGTCTCCTTCAATCAACGTCCAGTTCCATCTTTTGGCGTCCTCTTGATCAGTAAGATCTAAACGCTCAACCTCCTCCGGTCGAATGACGACAACTCGGAAATTTGCCCTTGCAATGGAGTCATGAAGGTCCAGAACCTCTTGACCTAGTTTGAGATCCGGTTGGCTGGGAGTTGAGGATCTAGGTTGTCCAGGGTGAGGGTTTCGGAAAGAACCTATATTCCCAGTCAGTATGGGCTACCGATGATAGGAAAACAGGGCTTTCAATCTGGTATAAGATCAATGTAGGAATAAAACACAAGAACCAAGATAGAGACAACCAACATACCTCTTGCGATAGGGGAGTGGTTTGCAAAGTATTTTGTGACAGCCTTTTCCCATGTCCACTTTGCGACGTCACTGTCATTACCCCCTTGACCCTTAATGCTTTTCTTATCTCATTTCGAGAAGTCTTCTCTTCCTCTGCATCCTCTCCACTTGGGTTGCCGATTGCATATGCCGTCCCCTTGATGCGCCACTGAGTCATGAGATCCTTTAGCCAGAACACTGCTTCAATCGCGTGACCAGAGGACTCCAGCTGAGGAAGCTTGTCCATTCGAGCATCGGTGGTAAATGACAGCATGTCACTTTCGAACACGGGTGGATTGCCACCACCTTCCACCTGCTGATCCATAGCTTCCTGGCCCTTATGGTGGAGCTCGAGTTCTGGGAAGAAACCACGACAGCCGCAGGTTCGCACGCGAGGTACAGGACGCTGTTGAGCATTGTAGCCAATTGTTGCAATTGTGAATTTATATCCAGGTGTTTGTTCGAGATGAGAGCTAAGGATATCGCGCCATGGGGCAGGCTGTAGGTTCTCTGACGGTGTACTCATTGTGGCAGCCTTTGTTGACAGACTCAAAGAACTGTTGGGGAAACTTCCACTGTATGCTTTGATTGCACCGAGGCGCCGTAGGGCTACCTGCAGAGAGCTTTGATGGCCGATAGAAGCTGAAGCTGGAACCATATGTCAGGATGAAGGTCTTGACCTTTTTCTCTCGCAAACGCCGACGATCAGATTGGCGGGGTAGAACTGATTTCTAATACTGGGTTCAGCCTGCAAGGTGAGAGTAATGGGGAGAGAATATCGATTGGGTGTTATGCGTACATGTATATATGTACGAAGCAAATTTGGAGTAGAATTAGAGATAAGCGTAGAAGAAGAGTGACATGGACCATGGTTGGTCAATATGGAGTGACATCACGTTTCGATGGTCCGTGCATAATTATGTGCAGCATCTGTGGTGGAGACTTGCAATCGCCAACCAAAAACTCAAATGAAACCCAATCGACATAAGTTGCCATGCATAGGTTTCAAAGGGCATGCATCTGGAAGAGATTGGCAAATGAATGCCGATTTGAAGTGAAATTGGCTGTCAATCGGCCGATCTTTTCGTCCCCTATCTATTCAATAAACAAATCGGCCCGACAGTACTCAACACCACGAAATGTCCCTTGCGAAATCCCAGCACGCCAACTAGAATCCAAAACCCATCCACTAGGATGGGAACAAATTCAAGCTCAGGTTGAGCCCTATTTCGGTGACAATTGGAATTTCGCCAGCGAGAAGGAGAAAAAGGGGTTCCTTTATATTGGGCTCTCCCGCGCCTTTAGTCACTTTTTCCCATTGACGCTAGATGATCGCATTGATTTGACATGCAAGATGCTTTACTTGTCTTTACTTATTGATGGTGAGTTCTCATGACCGGAGGTTGGGTTTGAACATCTATTGACCTTTGAGATAGATCAACTTGAAAAAATGAGTTTTACACAAATGCTGTCCTATCGGGACAGGGTTATGACAATTGCCCTTGGAACAGCGAGCCCCGACAGAAGTATCTGCCTTGAGTGGATGCTTCACGATACTGTCCTGGCCATGCGAAGTATGGATGAGGTTCTGGCAAATGACGTTGCCCAGGGATTTTGTCAACTTCTGCAGGCTCAGGCATCTCAAGAGAGGAGCACAATAAAAACTCTCGGATCATACCTCAAATTTAGGGAGATAGATGTAGGCAGACCGTATGTATTGTCATTGTTGCTTATTTTCGGATATCATTGTTGAGTACTGATGGCTAGTTTAGATTCTACACAGCTCTCGTTAGATTCGGTGCCAAGCTCTATCTCACTACCCCTGAACTCAAAAAGACCGCTGCTTTGGAAAGCACCGCATTTAGGCATGTCAGTGTTATGAATGATATATATAGCTGGGAGCGAGAATGGAAGGTATACCAGGCGAACCCAACCGACGGTGCCCGGCCATTTTCCGCCATCTACATTCTTGCCAACGAGACAGGGCTACCATATCCAGCATGCAAGCGCTTGATGTATAGCTACTGTCGAGAATTGGAGCTCGCTCTCAAGCAATCCACTGATGAAATTCGACACAACAACAGAGAAAGCTGGACACAAGATCTCGAGATGTACATCAAGGGTCTGGAATACTTTATGTGCGGCATCGAGTTATGGAGTCAGTGGACTCCGCGATACCGACAATGAGGCCTCTTAATTTCCGGATCAGGACTATCTTGACGCAGATCCCATCAGTAATCCGAGCCTTCGCGGCTACCTGTATGAAGATTTGTTCGAATAAGGAATTGACTGAGTTGTATATTATCTCTGACTACGGATCGAGAAGGATATTCAAGAAGCACATAGATTCAAGAAGTATATAGAGAGTCATATAATTTACAGCACCACAAAATGGAGATCAGAAGTCCCTGAGCTTGAAGCTTTAACTAGGTTTGGACTCATATTCCTTTTAGGACCTGCCCTGACCGGACGCTTGGGTTTATCTGATGGACCAGTTTGTTGATTTGATAAAATTAAATATTACATACAATTAGACGCTAAGTTATTCCTAAGCTTGCTCGTTATTGGCATTCACTGACCGTCTCTCATCTCGATAACCCTTAAATGCGTAGATCGCACTGAGGAACATCCCTAATCCACCAAGACCAATAGCCAAATATAAAGCGCCCCTATATCCTTTCAGAAGATCATCGGGGGTGTGACCTCCGTTGTTTATGTGAACTTCCACAGTACCGGCGAGTCCCAAACTCAGCGAGATGCTGTAGTTGACGACAGTAGTCACCAAGGATGCAGCGACACCCTGATGCTCGCGCTCGACCGCATTCGACAACATTAGAGTCGCTGCAGGAAAGGACATATCCATACCCCAAGGGATAACTAACAAACAAACGAATGTCAGGGCCCAATAGGTCTGATGCACCGGAGCAATTGCAATCAGAACATTGCCTAACGTGAAGGCAGTCATCGACAACAGCATGATCAGCCCGGGGCGCATGCGGCCCATCAGCCATCCAGTGACAACACATGCGATGATGCCCATCGGGCCCACGGGGACAAACTGAGCAGAGGCTAGAAGCGGAGTCACCAGACGGAATTTTTCTTCGAATCGCCAGAAGTAGTAGATCCAAATTCCGAATGACCCCCAACCGCAGGCAACACAGCCAAGGACAAACGAGACATCGCGACTGAATGCGTGGAACGGTATGAGGGGGTGTTCGGCTACCCAGAATTCCACACAGAAGAACGCCGCGATCAGCAAAATTCCAATGATCAGAAGGACATAGACGTAGGGTTCGCTCCATCCCACGATAGGCGCCTGGTTCCAAGCGATGTTCACAAGCACTAGGCCGCCGATACCGCAAGCTCCGCCGAGCACATCAAGAGCTTTTAACAGGCCCAAGAAGGATTTGTCGAAGGGTGTATCATGGTGAATAGACGGGACCACGAGCAGGCCTAATCCAGCGCAACAGAGAGAAACGATAGCCTGGGTCCAATATGTCCAGGGCCACCAGGCCAGCTGAGAGAAGATCGCACCGAAGACAGTTCCCAAAAGGGAACTGTTCGGGGCAGCGGCACCGAATATGGCAAAAATCATATTCTTTCTCTTTCCTTGTTGGTAAGTGGCTCCAAGAATAGCCAATGCGTTGGGCAGCAGCAATGCACCACCGATGCCTTGGAAGACACGCGCAAAGATGAAGAGTATATAGTTAGAATAGACGCTGAGACCTGCAACAAGAGACCAGAGCGCAGTCCAGCAGAATCCGATGATGAAAATTCGACGATAGCCGAATAGATCGCCGCACCGGCCAGACACCAGGATGAATGTGCCAACAGTCAAGGAGTACCCAGCCATGAACCAGCTCAAAATGCCGGGGTCATCTATACCAAAGCTATCGCCGACAATATCAAGCGGCGAAAGACATACTCCAACATTGGTTTGTGTCATAAATTGACCCATGCAAACAATGGCAACGAAAAGGACCTCGCGGATGGGCGAGAAAGTCGAAGCGAGTGATCGCGCCGACTCGACCGGCTTTAGATTCATGCTGTTGTCCCCCATTATCAACCAGAATCATATATCCAACCTCTCCAGGTGTTGGGGAAAAGAGTGAAGGATATGAAGTGGAAGATTTGAGTCGGTAGTTCTTAGGTCCATCTCCCATTTATTTTTTTTTAGGGGTGGCCAGGCCTATGGCGTTAGAAAAAAAGAGCTGGGTCTTGCAGGAGAGATGGAAATAGCGTTGCCGCTGATTATGGCTTGTCCTGTTAAAATTCATAGCTGACAACCTTTTGTGGGCCACATCGTGAATTTGATCCACCACGAACTGCGAAAGACGTTCGGCTTCGGAGTTGACTTCAATCATATCAGCAAGACGAAACCTCAAAATTCTGACTGAAATAAGAAGTGCCATTCTAGTGCTATTCTAGTGCCCATGATATCTGAGTGCGGGAGAAACGGGGACTCATTCTTCATTCGATGGTGGGTGTTGTCGATATTCTAGATGATTTTATATCCGATAATTCGGATATCCGGCAATAAGTTTTACGCCACAACTCTGGATTTGATTTATTAATTTATTTACATATCCATAACGCACGCGTTTCAAACGAGGGTTTTCTATAGAATCACCCAAAAAGGCCAATTTGTAACCCGACGGTGTAGGGCTACTGTGGACTATTGACGAGAAAATTATGACTTCTCGGAGGTGCGATAAGACACTTAATCGTCTATTTAAGAAATTAACCCGGCCACATATGAACACGTCCCGTCGCGTCCATATGAGCACGCACTCAGTCGGAGTAAATATCTTCATAGTGATGGAACTAATCACATTTACATCTTTTTCATCTATATTCTATATTCTATATTCCATATTCTGTCATTCCTCTCATGCTTCTAGCTTTAACACCGATGGAGTGGCGAATATTTAAAGAGACTCATAATAATTTCCCATCTTTCATATAGATGCTGAAGTAAGGTACCAGTGAATGCTGTTAGAACAAAGCCAACCTCGAACCAGCCCCAAAGAAGAAAATGCGATGAACCCATAGGTCGACCCCTCGGGGTAGAATGGCTTAAATTGTACTCCGTAGTTGGACTTGTTTTCCGTATTCTCCTTATATACTCCGAGCTCGTCATATGAGAAGCCAATCACTCCAGAAGGATCCCGCCAATCACTTAATATTGCGTGGCAATCGCCATAGCCAGTCTCAATCCTGTCAGATAAGATATCTCCAAACTTATGGCCAACCAAATTAGTTCAAGCCATCAAAAAGAAGTTAGATCTGGTGGAGACTGAGAGCACTAGAGTCTGGTCCTGATTATCAAGCACTGCGGGGGGACTAACCGGGGAATTCCGATTAAAAACATTGACTTGTCTAAATAATAATTCAAAGAGATTGCTTTTTTTATATTTCATTTCAATATATATACATATGTTATATATGTTACATATAATTGCTTTTTCCCCTCATCAATACCCGATTTATGCAACACCGTTAGATCGGCAATCATGACAGCTCCACTGGACCTGTCACATCACTTGTCCTATGCGACCAAGAACAAGAAACCCAGCAGTGTCAAGGGGTTCTATAAATACTTCCAGACACCCGGAATTGCTAACTTCGCTGGAGGTAAAAAAAAAAAAGGAAGATAATTCCACTTACTTCTAGCATATACTAATTTGACTAGGTCTGCCACATGCATCCTATTTCCCCTATGATACACTCGAAGCAAAAGTCGCTCTACCCCAGCGATTCGAATCCAAAGATAAAAAAGATTCACACTCCGGCCGAGTAACAGTCCCCAAGGAGAGTACCACACCAGATATCACTCGCAAAATCGACTTAACAACCGCCCTCCAATATGGCACCGCCGAAGGATACCCTCCTTTAACTACTTTTCTGCGTTCGTTCACAAGAGACCATCTCCATCCAAATGTACCATATGTGGGGGGTCCCGAGGTGGTGTTGACCTGTGGATCGACCGATGGCTTTTCCAAGGCCATTGAAGCATTCACGAATATATGGAATCCCGACCGGGATTGGATCCAGCAGCGGGAGGGTGTCTTGTGTGAGGAGTTTGCTTATATGAATGCTATCCAGACGGTGTCGCCTCGCGGGTTGAATGTCGTCGGTGTCGTGATGGATGGTCAGGGTATGCTTGCTAGTGGGAAAGGGGGATTGCAGGATGTGTTGGAAAATTGGGATTTCCGGCGTGGCAGACGGCCTCATTTGATGTATACTGTGTCGTGAGTATAGATCCTTGGCAAAGAAACGGAAAAGCAGAAAGAAAAAAAAAAGAGGTGAATGTGTGCTGACAGGATGACAAGAACTGGCCAAAATCCCACTGGAGGAACTCTCTCTGTCGAACGCCGAAAGGAGATCTACGCCCTCTGTCAGAAATACGACGTGATTATCATCGAGGACGAGCCATACTGGAACTTGCAGTTCCCATCCGCTTATGAAAAGACGGTTCATTACCGTGGCTCATCTTCACAACCAAATCTATACACCAAGAACTACAACGCAGAAGGCAAATCCTCAGGCTACGCCTACCTGGACTCACTCGTCCCTTCCTATCTATCCATCGACACAGAGGGTCGAGTAGTGCGACTCGATACATTCTCCAAGACCATTGCACCGGGTAGTCGTCTCGGCTGGATCACAGCGCAGCCGGCTATCATCGAACGTCTCACTCGTATAACAGAAGTGTCAACTCAACAACCATCCGGATTTGTTCAATCACTAATAGCGGAAATGATCATTGGTCAACAGGATGATAAATCCACCAAATCATCCAAACAGATCGCTTCAGGCTGGCACATGGACGGTTGGGTACGGTGGCTGGAAGGGTTACGCGCCAGGTATGAAACGCGCATGCAGGCTATGTGCACGATTCTAGAAGAGAACAAGTATCTCTTCCATGGATCGAGTGAAGACCACATCGATGCCTGGGAGGTCGTTGATCGACTGCAGATGTATGAGTTTGTCTGGCCGATGGGTGGCATGTTCGTGTGGGTTGAGACTCGGGTTGATACCCATCCCTTGTGCTCACAATATCCCCCCCGAGCGACTCGGACAGGCGCTTTGGATTCATTTGACCAAGAAACCCTATCTTTGTCTGGTCGGCCCTGGATCAATGTTCGCTGCGACACCTGCATCTGCCCAGAAAGCTTATCGATATA